CCCAGAAATCAGGATCTTGGCAGGATAATTGATTTTTTCCCCCAAAACTTAAGATTTTGTTATTTTCAGGTGTCTTTTTAAAATAATTTTTTTTAATTGCAAACTTAACAAATACAAATTAAAATAAGCATTTCTATATACATGGAACAGAAAAAGAAAACATGAAACAATGAATCTCTATTATGTACCTGTTGCTTTTCTTTTTCAATATAACAAATTCAACATGAAACTTTTCGAATTGTTCTGCTCAACTGTCATTCTTTCTGGCCTTCTGTTCTCTTCTGTTCATTTTTTTTTAATGCTTCAATGATGCCCCCCCTCCCCTTTTGGCTATTTTATCCCTAGTCCCCATCTCCCATCCAACGCTAACTGGAAGAAAAAAAAACCCTCTTGCAATAAATACTAGTCAAACAAAAATTCTCATATTGTCCTTGTCAAAAAACATATGTTTTGTTCTGCAACTTTATTCAATCACCTCTCTTTCAAGAGGCAGATAATGAGCTTTAATAGCAGTCATCTGAAATTACAGTTCTTCATTGCATTGATCAGAGTTCTTAAGTGTTTCAAAGTTGTTTTCTTTACTTTTGTATTGAATCTATTGTATATCTTTCTGATTCTGCTCACTTCACTCTGCATCAGTTGATACAAGTCTTTTCAGGTTTCTCTAAAACCACCTTTCTTAATTTTTTATAGCAAAATAGTATTTCATTACATTCACATACCACAATAGATTCAGCCATTCCTCAAGTAATTTCCAGTTCTTTAGCTTCTGGTTCCTTATAATAACAAAGAGAGCTGCTATAAATTTTTTTGTACATTTGATCTTTTTAGTCTTTCTTTAAATTCTTTATGATACAGGCCTACAAAGAGCATGTAGAGGTTCTTTACTTTGGGGGCATAGTTCCAAACTGTTTTCCCAAAAGGGCTGGACCCATTCGCAGCTCCACCAACAGTACAATATCCCTGTTTTCCCTCCCTTCCAACCATGGTCATTTTCCTTTTTTGTCTTATTTGGCAGAATAATTGAACCAGTAAGGGATTGGAGTGAGACCTGGATAATTGAAGCAAGAATGGAAAGCTGGCCTGGATAATTGAGGTAGGGAAAAGGGGTGGGGCTTTAGTAATTGAGTAAGAGTGAGTTCTGTCATGGAGACTTGCTTAGGGGTGCGGCCTGATAATTGACCTGGGGCCTCATGTGTGTGCTGGGCTTGGGCTGTTCTGGCTGATGGCAGCGCCCTGAGCCCAGCTGTGTCCATCCTGCCCGAGTGCCGGCTGCCTGTCCCCAGCGGGGGTCAGGGACTCAGGGGGCTTGCCAGGCACGTGCTATCCCAAGTGTTCCCGAGGGGAGGGAGTTGACACACATGTGTCCGTACCTCATTATCCAGTCACTGATGGGGAGAGGGAAAGAAGAATGGGATAACAGAGACGGAGGGAGATGAGAAGAAAAAAGAATAGAGATGGGAGAACAAAAAGAGAGAGGTTGGGGAACAGAGAAACAGTGAGAGAATTGGACAGATGAGGGTCACAGAGAGAAAACAGACTGAAGTTACAGAAGTAGATGGAAGAGACAGGAACAAGGGACTTAAGGGAAGCAAGGAAAGAATAGGGATGGGAATAGAGATTTGACAGAACAGAGGAATGAGGGATAGACAAATGAATTGGATGACAGAGAAACGAAGGGACAGGAACTGCGAGTGGGATCAAAGAGGTGAGGGGACAGATAGCTAGAGGGGGCTGAGATATGCAGATCCAGGGAACACACATGAGTGAGAGTGGGATGAGGAATAGCAGAACAGAGAAAAGGGATGAAGTGACAGAGAAATAGAAGATGACTACAGACGGAGAAACTTGGGGCTAGTACTGGAGGAAAAGAATAGGGACAGAGGTACAAATGGATGGGGAAAAGAGTCATTTGAGAGACAAAGATGATGAGGGAATGGTAGTTAAAGGGGGGAAAGAACAGAAACAGTTTTGCACACAGTAGGAGCTAACATGCTCGTTAAAGTTGAAGGAACAGAAGATGAGTGACAGAGATGAATTGCAAGGGTCAGAAAGGGGGCACAGTGATAGGGGACAGAAAGATGAGGAGCAGAAGGACTAAGAGACAGGCTATAGGAGCAGAAGGGTAAGGAAATAGAGAGATGGGAGACGTATGAGGTCTAATGGATGGACAACAGAAAGACTTGGAGAGAAGGATAGAAGAACAGAGGGATGGAAGGAAAGAGAAAAAAAGATAAGTTAGAACACAAAGGTGTGGGATCGAGGACACAGAGCTGGGGGACAAAAGAATGAGGACAAGAGGATAGGGGAATGAGGGGACAGGAGCAGAGGTATTAGCAAAAGAGAGGTACGGGGACAGAAGTATGGGAAAATAGAGGACCATGAGGGGGGGGATGCAGGAGGCCAGCTCTGGGAGCTAGGAGCGCCTGGGTCCCAGCCCCGGGGGGCTGGTGGGCGGTAATGAGGCGGCTCTGCCCAGATGCGCCCCCCTCCCCCACGCTGCCCCCGGCCCGCAATCAAAATGCTAATTGGCCTCATCTCTCCGGCTGCGGCCCCCAACCCTCCCCCCAACTCCCAGCTCTTCAGCTTGTTCACACGCTCACACTCACGTCCACCCACAGTAACCCCAGGCCTGGCCCAGACGAATCGGGCTCCTAGGCCCTGAGCCTCCCCCGCCACTCCCCCTTCCCCTTTCGGTCCTGTCCCGGCTGCGGCGCAGAGATAAGGGGGCGGCTCCACCCCTAGGGACAGTCTGACACTCAAGATGAATGTCCCCCCGCAGCTCCCGCCCCCACCCAGGCCCAGCCGGCTGCCACAAAGAAATTGGGACCCCGCCTCCTCCCTTTCCCCAGACACACTGGCACAAAGTGATCTCTGTATGCACGCACAACACAGTCACACATACCCATACGTACAAGATATACACAAATTTGTGGTCACGCAAGATGTATACACACACAGCCGATATGCTTCAGTCACTCCCATCTAGCCCTGAGTTGCTCCCTTAGCCATCAGGCCCTACAGCCTGGGAAATGAGACCTAACTGCTCCTAGTCTCGACCCCGCCCCCAAAGATTATGCAAATATGAGGGTGGAGCTTGTTTGAGCTGAGATCAGCACTTCCTCTCAGCTTGGCTCTGCCGGCCTAGGGCCCTTGGGCCACAGCTGCGTGCGCCCCCACTGCCAGTGAATGCGCATTCAGGTTAGGGATCCTCTTCCAATCCGGTCCTAAAAACACACCTCTGAAGATTTGTTCAAAGGGTTGTTACATTGTCACACACACAATGTGACAGAACTGGTGACAACCACACAGTACCTCGCAATGTCAGTCATACAATATCAAATTTAGCGACACAAGTTGGTGTCATAGACAATATCTTACAGGAGGCATCAAATAATTAGAGGGTATGTGGTGCAGTGTTTGGACTCAATAGTATCTCTGGTTCGAATTCCAATGTCGCCACTTACTTGTGTGACCTTGGACCTGGTACCTGACCTCTTTGGGCCTCGGTTTCCTTTTTTTTTTTTAAACGAGTGGGTTAGACTGAACGATCTCCAAGGTCACTTTTGGCTCTAAATCTATACTCCTATGAGTATCCCACAGCTGGTATCAGTTGTACAGTGTCACACACAAGGTCACAGAGAAAATACCAGTTTCACAATGTCATTCATACCCACTACATCCCTGTCATACAAGTCAGTGTCAATGCCACACACTCAGTGTGTAGGATAGTGTAAGACTCTTTGTGACACTCACACAATGTCACATAAAATCAGGGTCACACAACCACGAGTGTCGCTGATGCCAGTGATGTGTCGCAGCCACATAGGCACAACGCCGGCCCGAGAGCCAGTCGTATGGATGCTACCCTACCGCTTTCCACTCAAACCTGTTCGTGACCTTGGAACATTACCCACGCCCTCACACGCGTCAGAAGGCCTAGGACTCTCCAGTGGACTCACGGAGATTCAGGATGATTTGGGGGCTAACTGGCTTGGGGAATTTAGGGGATGAATCGAGTTGGAATTAGGTCCTGGCATGGGTTCGAGTGGGCTCTCTCCCTCCTCTTGGGAACATGTACATAAACCCCTCCCCCGAACGCGGCCTTTGTGCACGAGGACCCTCCCCCACTTCCCCTCTCCTAGGGTCCAGGCCGCCCCTCTCCATTGGCAGGGCCCTCCCTGACGTCAGGGGGCGGCCTGTAAAGTTCGGAACTGAGAGACGTTAATGGGGCGGGTGGGAGGCGGGGGAGAAGGTGTTGTCCCCTTGGTTCCCAGGCCTCCATCTCGGCATGGCTTCAGAGCGGGCGGGCGAGGAAAATACTATTACTTGGATAGATAATAAAAAATAATAATGAATAGAAAAGTACCAGTCTTTGCTGGGGGAAAGAGAAGAAAGGTTGGAAAATTCCCCCAACCTGGGACAGGCAAAGAGGTGTCCAAGGCTTCTCGGAGGCCAGAGCAGACGAGAATGAGGCGGGGGGGGGGGGAGACTGCGGCAAAGGGCGCCGCGTTGGCCCTAATGCAGTCCCGCTGCCTCAGCATCACCCCCCCCGCCCCCGCGGACACGGGGCCTCCGAGACCCGCAGCCTAGGGGGAGGGGAGACGAGGACCCTGACTCCGAAGGCAGGCAGGGCTCCCAAATGCTTGGGTCTCCTTATCCCTGGAACCTCCGGGGGAGACCAGGACCACCCCCCCCTTTCTCTTCTTTCTCAAGCCCAGAACTCGCTTTGCCGAAGGGGAAGCCCCCGGGGGAGGGGAAGAGGGGAGCCCAGCCCCGCCTCCGCCGTATCCCCCTACTCCCTCCCCCCCTTCCCAGCTTTATAAATGAGCGGCCGGGCCCCGGCCAGAGGCAGAGACCGAGGCAGAGGCAGACCGAGGCGATCACGGGCGGCGGGAGCTGTCCGAGCGCTGAGCCCCGCCCCCGCCCCCCGCCCCCTCCCTCAGCCCCCCGCCCGCTCCGCCGGCAGAACAATAAAGCCCAGGCTGCCCGCAGCCCCCAGGCCCAGCCCCAGCCCCAGCCCCAGCCCGAAACTCGGATCCGGGTGCTGGCCGTGGTGCTGAAAGGCGCAGCGTGCGCCCGCCCGCCCCGGCCCCAACCCCGGCCCCGGCCGCGCGGAGCCCCACCGTGCTATGGGGGGCCACTGAGGGACCGTCGCTCCGCCCGCCCGCCGCGGCGGCGGGGCCCCGGGGGGGCCGGGGCCGGGCCTGGGAGGAGACCTGGGGGCAAAGGCGACCCCCTCCTCCATACACACAGTCCTGTCCGAGGGCCGGGACGGAAGGAGAAAGAGGGGAGAAAGGAAGGAGGGGGAAAGAAGGAGAGAAGGAGGAGGAGAGAAGGAGAGGAGAGAAGTAGTAGGAGGAGGAGAGAAAGAGGAGGAGGAGGAGAGGAGGAGGCGGCGGCGCGCGCCACGGCGGCCTGGCGAGGAGCTGAGGCCGAAGGGAACCGCTGGACGCCGTGTAAGAAGACGAGCCCCCCAGCTCTGCCTGGCCCGCGGCCACCGCCCCGCGGATGGTGAGGGGGCTCCGCGGCGGCCGTAGCCCCCTTGCGTCCGGCCCAGGCCCTAGCCCGGGCCGCCCTCCCTCCCCTGGCCCCGCAGAGGCCCCACAGCCCCGCAGGAACCATGCCCAGATCTTTCCTGGTCAAAAAGGTCAAACTTGATGCGTTCTCCTCTTCTGACTTGGAGGGCCCTTATGGCCGGGCACGGAGCGACCTCGGAACCCGGCTGCCAGAGAAAGGTGAGGGGGCCAAAGGACTGGGGATGTGGGAACCTGGAGTTTAAGGGGGACCACTACATGGGGAGCTTAAGGCTCTGGGGTATGGGAAGTTGAGGCACAGGGCTCCCGGGATTAGGGCGAGAGCGGCATAGGTGCTAATATGAGGTGGGGGGCAGGAGTTGGGGTTATCAGAGACATGGGGGTCAGGGCTCCAGGGGACAGAAATGAGTGATGAAATATATGAGTGGGGCTCTGGGAGCTCCATAGAGCGAGGTTATGGGTCTTTACAATGCTGGGATATGGTGGGGGGCAAGGGGACCTTGACTATTTATTTGCATGGGGGACCAAAGATGGGGCTAGGGTCTCTAGGGGACTGAGATATGGCTAGCTAGAATAGGGGAGTAGGGACTCTAGAGGGGTAGAGCATTTTGAGTCAAGGGTAGGGGATTATTATTCAGGGCCAAGGGCTAGAAGAAGATCATAGTACGAGGGGCTAAGGGATCAAAGATTCTGCGGCTGAGATATGTGGTTGGAGAGCTGAGTCCAAGGTGCAGGGAGTTCTAAGGCTGTAAGCACCAGAGACTGTAACCACAGCAGCAGCAGCAGCAGGAAGATGGGGCAAGCCAAAGACTGCAGAAGGATGAAAGGGGGGAAAAGGGAACTTGGTTGCAGAGAAAGACTGGAATGGGGACCAAGAACAGACTAGGGTTGGGGGCAGGAATAGACTGAAGCCACAGGGATGAAGAACAGGAACTGCAGTTGGAAACCAGGGCCTGGTAGGTGAGGGTGGGGGTGGTACACACACACAGCTGGGACAAACACATTGACATGCAGGGACATGCACAGAAACAGACACATGGTCACACATGCAACCCAGACATCCTCTCCATCAGGACATGGGGAGACAGTAACACAAGGGGATGAAGTAGGGCTGAGTGGAAAGGATCTGTGGTTGCTTAGTTATGAGAGTGATAGAAGAATGAGGGAATGAGCCTGAGCAGAGATGTCTCTGGGGTGTCCTGGAAGAATCTGATCACTGTGGAAGCTGAATCTCGACACGGGGGGGGGGATGCAGAAGAGTGGAGAACAGGGTCTGGGAGCCTGATAGGGAAGCTGGGGATATCTGGGACTGGAAGGAGGCAGGGGTCTATGGTAGGTGAGAGATGCCTCTTTGTTTGAGGGCACACAAGTTCAAGGACAACTGTTAGATCTAGGCCAGGGAGAGAGTGAGCTGTGCCTGCCCTAAGATATTACTTGTATGACTATGTGTATGGTCCTGCATGTGTGTGAACCTTATAATTCTGTGACTATGTATAATCCCAAATTTGTGTTTGTGACCCTGTGTGACCTCAAGTGTGCATGTGACCATGTCTGTGACCCTCTCTGTGTTTGGTTGTGGGTATGTGTTACTCTGTATGTGTCATATATATAGATATAGATATAGATATGATGCATCACCACAGGTGACCCTGTATGTGTGAGACAAGATTGACTGACTGACAGTGTCTCCATCTGTATACAACCATATCTGACCCTGTATATGTATGTGACTATGGGCGAACATGTGGCCCTCTATGAACATGATGGTGATCCTATATGTATAAGATATGTGATTATTTGTATCACCCTATGAGGATGTGACAGTACATGTGACTTCTTAGCTGTCTTTAATAGTCCACATCTGACCCTATGCCATCCATACTAACCATGACCCTGGATGAGTGGGTGACTCCATGTGCTTAATGATTGTGGGTGCGGCTGTGCTGTGTAACCATATCAATGCTTGACGTTATCTCTGTGTGTTCTGTGGGCGACTTTGAGGGACACGGCATGTGGCCTGCATGATGCCATGTGTGTGTGGCAGTGTGACTATGCCACTCCTCTTCCATTTTCCCACCCACCCTCCTTATCCCCACCTCCCCCTAGCCGTACTTGGTCCAAACACCTCGGTTCCTCCCTGGCCTTAGGGTGAGTGGGTGAAAGAGGCCAATGGACAGGGAGTATGGGAAGGGAAGGCATCAGGGATGGGGGTACCATAGGGGCCACAATCAGGGCTTTGTGCAGCTGCCACTGCTGATGCCTGGAGGAGGAGGAGGCAGCAGCCGTCTGCAGTGTGTTGCATAATCAGGCAAAACTGCTGAAGTGGGGAGAACCCGGAGAGGGAGGGAGGGAGGGAGGGAGAGAGAGAAAGAGAGAAAGAGGAGGGGGGAGGAGGGAAAGGAAGGGAGGAGAGAGAAGGAAGAGGAAGAGGGAGGAAAGAAGGAAGAGGAAAAGGAAGAGAGAGGATAGAGAAGGAAGAGATGGGAGTCTCCCAACCACAACCCTCCCCACCCCCTCCCCCCCCGACCTTGAGGCTCCCTTGGATTGGATGGGGGGACGGGTTGCAGGGGGGAATCATTACAGTACAGCTGCTCCCCCCAGGGGAAGTGAATGGGGGGAAAGGGAGGGGCCTAGATTTGGTCAGTCCCCTTCTCATCTCTTTCTCTCCTCTCTTGACTCCTTTCCTCTCTGTCTCACCTTGTCTCTGTGTCTCTTCTGGTCTCCTGTTCATCCCTCCTATCCTGTCTTCATCCACCTCGCTGTGACTCCTGCTTCTGATCCCTCTTTGTTCTCTCACCCCCTGCCCCTAATCCTTGGGTCTCTGTGTGTGTCTATCTCTGTCCTTATGTATTCTCTTGGCCCCTTTTCTGTCGCTGTTTCACTATCCATACTATCCTCTTCTGCCTGCTTCCCTGACTCCCTGTTTCTGTCTTCATATCCGTATCCTTGTCATTTTACTTTCTCTCCCATCTGTCTCCTCCTCTCCCTTCTCTGTCTCTCCCCTCCTCCACCTGTGTCTACTTGTCTTTCCATCCCACTCTGTCTCTTCTTTCTCCCTCTATCTCTTCCCGTGTCTGTCTCGTCCTTTTCGTGTATTTCTGCTTTTTCCTGGCCCCAGCAGGATACCTCAGTGACTACATCGCCCCAGCCGTGTACGATGCCGCAGACTCAGACGCTTCCCTGCTCAAGGGCCCGTCCCAGGAGCCTATGTACGCAGCGGCCGTCCGCGGAGAGCTGGGCCCGCCCGCTGCTTCGGCCCCACCGCCCACCCCGCGACCAGAGCTGGCCACGGCTGCAGGAGGCTACATCAATGGTGATGCGGCTGTCAGCGAGGGGTACGCTGCAGACTCCTTTTTCATTACCGACGGCCGATCTCGCCGCAAGGGCGCCAGCGCAGCCTCGGCCCAAGGCGGACCCGACGGCAGTAGCGGTGCAGGAGCAGGAGGAGGAGCCGGGAGTGGGGCGGGGTCTGGGGGGCGGGGTCAACAGGCAGGCGGGGCGGGGCCAGGGTCCGAGGCGCGCGCTGGCCGGCACGCGTGCAGCGACTGCGGCAAGACGTATGCCACGTCGTCTAACCTGAGCCGGCACAAGCAGACGCACCGCAGCCTGGACAGCAAGTTGGCGCGCCGCTGTCCCACGTGCGGCAAGGTGTACGTATCCATGCCAGCCATGGCTATGCACCTACTCACGCACGACCTGCGCCACAAGTGCGGTGTGTGCGGCAAGGCCTTCTCACGGCCCTGGCTATTGCAGGGCCACATGCGCTCGCACACTGGTGAAAAGCCCTTCGGCTGCGCGCACTGCGGTAAAGCGTTCGCTGACCGCTCCAATTTGCGCGCGCACATGCAGACGCACTCGGCCTTTAAGCACTTCCAGTGCAAGCGCTGCCACAAGGCCTTCGCTCTCAAGTCCTATCTCAACAAACACTACGAGTCCGCCTGCTTCAAGGGCGGCAGCACCGGAGGGGGAGCTGCGGAGGGAAGTGGGGGAGGGACCATCAGCCCCCCGACTACACCCGGCCCTGCGCCCCCCTCGGCATCCTCCTCAGTGCACGGCCCGCCTCCTCTCAGCCCTCTTCGGGCCTGAGGGGGGCATTCCCGGAGTTCCATCCTCCCTTCACCCCTCTGGCAGCAATAGGGTCTTGGGAGGGGAGAGCCGGGGTCTTCACCCGTCCTCTCAGCAATAGGGCTCCCCTCCCCTGGGAACAGGAAGGCGGTTTAGCCTCTGATCCTTTCCAAGCTTCTGACTGGAAGGCGTGGGGAGGGGAGAGGTGTTCCCAACTGATCAGCAATAGGGTCCCCGGAAAAGATGGCCTCTGTTCTGGCCTCCTTTTCTGGGCTCCAGGCTAGGGAGGGAGCACCCTCCACTATTCAGCAATAGGGTCCCTGAGGAAGGGAAAGGTGGCCTTGCCCCTGTCCCAGCTTCTGGACCCCAGGCTGGGGAGGGCGCACTTCCCCCCAAGGCGACCTCTTCTCTGTCTTCATGTCTGTCTCCCCTCTTTGGGGCCCTTGACTGGGGAGGAGGGACTCCCTAAGGCGACCTCTCTCTCCTCTTCCCTCCCCACTTTGGGGAAAATGGGTGAGGAGGGTTTTGCCCCTACTACTCAGCAATAGGGTCCCCTGGAAAGGTGAAGGCAAAGTCTCTCCCCTCCCCCACACACCCACCTTTTAGGACCCGGGCTAGGAAAAGGGTCCCCTCCCCATTTTCTCAATGATAGGGCCATAGGGAAGGCGGCTTGCCTTGATCTCGACTAGCTCCCCCTTTCGAGACCTGGGCTGGAGAAGGGGAGCCTCTCATTACTCAGCAATAGGGTCCCAATAGGTGACTTCTCCACCCCTCTGTCCTCACTTGGGGCAAGCTGGGGATGGGACCTGGGTAAGAGGCGTACCTGTCATTATTCAGCAATAGGGTCTAAGGTCCTGGCCTGTCTCCCAAGAGAAGCCCCAGGCTGGGGAATGGGTGTCCCCCACTTCCTTCAGCAATAGGGTCACCCAGGGAAGCCTATCCTGTCTGAAGGCCCCTAGGCTGGGGAAGTGTCACCCCCACCTCAGTGATAGGGTCTTGGAGACAGCCCCTCCCCCAGCCACGTTAGGCCTTTAGTGGCTGAAGGGGATAAAGGGATACTGGGTTGGGTGCTGCCGTCCACCTCCTTTAAGCAATAGGCTATCGAGGCGGCGGCACCCTGCCTCTTGCCCTCTCCAATAAGGACCCCTCACAGGCTGGGGGGCTAGGGACACCCCATCCCATCATCTTATTTCCCAGCAATAGGGTCACAGGGCCCCTGTCCTCCCTCAGGGCCTTGCACAGCTGGAGGAGGGCAGTGGCGGCTCCTTCTAGGGTCACAGGACCTCTGGGGTCTCCCAGCCCCCAGGTTCCTTAAGGCTGAATACCCAGGGACCGGCCCCCTCTGCCTGCAGGCTCAGGGAGGAATGCAGGATCCCGGGTCCAGCCTCCCCTTTGGTGGAGCCCCAGGGAGGACGAGGGACAGGCAAGAGGGCAATCTCCCCACAGTTCTCTAGGGATTGGGGGGGAGAGGGAGATGAGGACTGGGAAGCCCCCTCCCCTCATCTCTCTAGCTCAGACCTGGAAGGGGCCTGTTCGGAGCCCGCCCTCCCCTTCCTCCACCTCTGCCCTGCCTCCGCCCGCCAAATCCGAACTCTTCCGGCCCAGCTACCTGGGCCCTCAGTCCCTGCTCCCCATAACGAATAATAATGACGCATATCGGATCGCATGGACTTATCCGACCTTCCCCAGCCCTAGGTTCCTCCCACTCCTTCCAGTCCCAGACCCCTAGGCATTAAATGTCCCTGGGGGGAGGCGGGGCAAACTGTAATAGTGACGCTCACCTCGCCCACACGCCCCCTTCCCCAGAACACCTCTCAGTATTCGCCTTGCGGGTAAAGCCCTGGAGGTTCGGGGGGGGGGGCGTCTCATGAGCGTCGGGTTTATTTATTTCTGTTATTTATGTTTGTTGATGAATGGATTGCACTCGGGTCGGGCAGTCCCGGCCCACGCCCTGGGCTTTTCTGCGAGAAAGTTCCCGCAACTTTCTTGCCCCCTCCTCCTAGGATAGACCCCCTCCCTCCCGCCTTCTCGGAGCTCCTCCCCTCTGGCAGCTCTTCTCCTTCATGCAGTCCCTCGTCATCGGAGCTCCGCCCCTCTTAGAAGTCCTGTCCACATGCTCCACTCCTTCCTAGGTCCCTACCCTCATCTCGGAGCTCCGCCCCTGTCAGCTCTGCCCCTCCTCGGAGCTCCACCCACACCTCCTTACATAGATTCCTCCCACCTCCAGTAATTCCATTCACGCCCCGCCCTTCCCTCCCACTCAGTTGCCAATTTTCGCCCGTCTATGCCAAAGCCTCGGCGGCGACCCTGCCCCCCCAGGGCCCCACCCCATTGGCCGCCGCCGTTGTGACGTCACTGCATGCAGCCCCCGCCCTCCCCTCCCCGGGCTGCCCCGCCCCTCGCTCCTCCCCCTCCCTTCCTTTTTCCCTCCTCCCTTTCCTTCCCCTTAGATAGTCCGATACCGACTATAGAGCAATAATGCGCACTGCATGCGAAGCTGCCGCCGCCTCTAGTGTTACAGAGAATCAGGTACCCCCCCACTTCCCTCTTCCCCCAAGCCCCGCCCCAGGCCCCGCCCCGCGCCGATATCAGGGACACTGCGCGAGGTGGGCGGGGGCCATACGCGCAGACTTTCTCTACCCATCCCACCCTTCCAATAATCCCTTGCCCTGGCCCCAATTAAGGCCCCCTCGGCTGGCCCGGCGGCGGCGGGGGAGGCGACCACCAAGGGACAGATCCCAGATTGGGGAGAGAGGCGGAGGACACACACACACACACACACACACACACACACACACACACACACACACACACACCACGAAGACAAGGAGACAGAAATGGACAGGGTCTCAAGGAGAGAGAAACAAGGATGCAGAAAGACAGAAATAGACATGGATGGAAATAGACACAGAGACAAGGGGATGGAGAAATAAGGAAACAAGAAAATATAGCAAGAGGCATCAGGGGAGCATGAGACAAAAGAATACCACTCAAACAGTATGCTGAGTGTTGGAAAATGACATCTGCACCCTCACTGAGCTTATAGTCTAAGAGAGGATGATATATATATATAATGTATATATGTATACATATACATATATATATGTATATATGTATACATATACATATATATATGTATATATGTATATATATGGAGAGAGAGAGAGAATCTTCCTCTTTTCTAGTCAGAATATGGGGGACTCAAATAGTAAAGGTCCAAAAAGAGAGATTTGAGAAGTTCAAGGAGCAGGGAGGGATCACTCCTTCCTGAAGTAAAGAGAGAGTCAGAAAGACATGGAAGAAAGAATCATGAAGAGATGAAAGGATGGGGTGACTTGGCAACAGCTTTCCTACTCTACACAGAGCTACCCAAGGGGCAGTGCAGCATGTAATAGAATGAGTACAGCAAATTAGGAGAACTGGCTGGCTGTACTCCTATTCTTGTCCTTCTTGGGTATGACCTTGAGCGATTGCGCTTCCATTTTCTCTGAAAAAGGAGGGGCTTGTACTAGATGGTGTCAAAGGACCCTTCTAGCTCTGATGTTCTGTGATCCTTTGATCCTAGATCTAGATAGAGGACAAGGATTCTTTTTTCAGTTATGGGTTGGACTAGATGGCTATTGAGGTCCCCATCCAGCCCTGAAATTCTGTAATGACGTGACACTGAGTTATATGGAGACCCAGGGAAGACGGACACAGAGGTATGCAGAGACATAGAGACAGGAGAGAAAAATACTTGGAAAATCAGAAATAGAGACTCAGAGACAGAACTGAACATTAACAGACTTAAGCCCCTGACACACACCTTCACACACATAGCCACCACCCCAACTTCGAGAGATGAGGTTTCCAACTCTAGGAACCCCAGAAGGAGGGTTTGGGGAAGTGCAGGGACCTCCGCTCCTCTGCCTTAGGTTCACCCATCATTCCATGATACACCAAGGGACACAATTATATAACAGAACACAATCACAGCATTTGCCCCTTCTCTCCCATTACAACCCTCTCCACCAATTACTACCACATACATAGGCACAGATATATGGTGGTGGATACACATACACATTCATTCATTTACTCAACTGGTGCTTGGCTCCAGAGGGCAGAAATAGGAGCAAAAGGGGTTGTTATCATAGAGAGGCAGATTTCCCTTTGATATGAGGAAAAAAGACATTTCTGAAGAGTAGAACTGTCCTAAAGGGGAATGGCTGCCTATTACTGAAAGTCTTCAAGTAGAGTCTGGCCAGAGATAATGTAGAGAGGATTTCAGCTCAAGTTCAGGCTGGGCTAATCAGAGCTGATGTTTCTAGAACATTTTATAGTTTACAAACTACTTGACATCCATACATTGTCCCTCACAACAACTCTATGGAATAGCTTCTGCAAGTATTCTACTCATTCTGCGGGTAAGGAAACTCACACAGCTAGTAAATGCTGGAGGTGGGATTCACCAGACCACCTCCTTCAAGGTCCAGTGCTCACTCTACTCCATCTGCTGCTCTCTCAGCTCCAAGATTTTATCATCTGCATAGAACACCCACTATGAGCCTAAGCCTACATTAGCTGCTAAGGGAAACATAAAAAGAAGCTGAGATATGGTCCTTGCCCTCAGGGAGCTTCCAATCCCATTCCATCACAATGACACAGAGCCAGGCGGCTACACATCCACTTTACACACTCAAGCACAGCCAGACGGTCTTCCAACCTGTATGACACCCAGACAAGCCACACACAGGCACACCAATGCAGCTGTACATAGAACACAGGAGCACACACATACACACAAGCCCAGGAACACACTACTAGTCACACAAACATGGTTGTACACACACACATACAAACACACACACACACACAAACCTCCCTGGGCCCCTCCCTACCTCCCCTGTGTTCCTCCTCTGTGCTTGCACACACATGGTCTACCTACTTACCTAAGCAGTGAGCAGGTCTCACAACCGCTGGGCCAGGCCGGGGGCCCCTTTCCCCAATGCCTTGCCCCCTGTCCTACCGTGGAAAGCCATGGGTCCCTCCTTCTCTTCCCTCCCTAAGTCCCCATCTCTGAATCAGCACAATATCCCACCTTAGCGAATTCAGGTAGAAGGAACGTGTATAGGTAGCACCTCTGTTTTTGTACTGACTGCAACAGGCCCCGGGGCCACCCAGCGTGAGTGGGAGAGCTAGGGCTGTGAGGGGACAGGGCAGCTGTGCCCTCCCCCTGTTCCCCTCTGCAGCACATGACTCCCTTCCCTTCCCCCTTCCTTGTACATACTCCCCCTGCCCTGCCCCGACAGGCTGGGATTTTTACGTGGGCCGTCCCCCTCTCCCCCTCCGCCTGACTCCTCCTCATGCCCCGCTTTTGGGGCTGCGGCCCGGGGGGCTTGGGGCCGGCCGGACAGACGGACGGACGGACAGACCTCCTTCCTAAGCACAATAGCACCAGCTCCCCGGAGCACCGCACCTCCAAGAGGAGAATAAACGCGACTCTTGATAGAATTGCTTCTGTTCGTGAGACTTAATTTCCTGTTATCCGGCAGTGTTCAGATATTGGGGGGGGGGGGCAGTCCTCTATCCTGAGGAAAAGCAGGTCCTTTGGGAGGGAGGACATCTAGAGGGCCTGCATGACTTTCATATTCTAGATCATAGTGGCACTCTGTGTCTTTCACTCTTCTGGAATCTGGGTCTCTTTCTATCCATCTCTTCCTCTCTGTCTCCTCATATTTGCTTCTATCTCTGGGTCCAACCCTTTTCCGTCTGTTTGACAACCTACTTCCTAGAGCTTGGTATTATTCTGAATCTATCTACCTGTCTCTCTGAATCTGCCTTTCTCCTTACACTTCAGTTTGTCAGACCTCTTTTAGTCTCTTTTTCCTGAGTCTATGTGTCTGACTGTCTTTCTATCTGTGAGATTGTCTCTGTGTTCATTTCATCTTGATTACCAGGCCTGAAGGAGGGGTGGGCCCAATGATTCTCCTGCCCAGCTGTTCTCCCTGAACCAACCATGTGGAGCAGTAGCAGAGCATTTTTCTAGGAGCTGGGGGAGGCAGAATGTCACTGATAAGCCCCCCACTCTCCAAAGCCTGTCTGGGTTGTCCTGGCCCAGTAATAGAGAAGAGGATGCACTCCCCAGGAGCCAGGGAGCCAGGCTGTTATGAATTTATTGGTCTAGGTACAAAACCATGATGGCTCAGCTTTGCCCTGGGAAAGGATGGAGACAGATGGGCAGACTGGTCCAGACAGAGGTCTCCTCAGTACTGTCCCCCAGCACAGTGTCCTCAGATGAGCCCTCTCCAATGCCTCTGTCCCTCTAGGGGGGAGAGGAAAAATGTCTGACCTTTCTTTCTTGGCCATCTTTTCAAGTCCCTCTGTCCAGCTGGCTACTGTTTCCAGTGCTGTCCTGATTGGTCAGTCCAGCTATGGCTATTAGAGCTGCGCTCAGTCCAATGATGGCCAGTCTGCTATCTAGAGGCCAATTAAGGTCACAGTACGCCATGAGTCTATCTAGAAGATCTTCCAGAGAACTTCAGGGCCCCAGCCCAGTGCAGTCTGTGTGACAGCCAGGGCTGCTGCCCCTAATGTGGCTGAGAGACCCCATAGAGCTGCTTTCACCAGGGTGCTGGGACCACCCTGACTCCTAGAAGGCTTCTGGTACCCTGGCTGCTGCCGTTGCTTCTGAAGAACCCAGTCAGGCCGCTGGTGCGCTGAGGCTGCTTGCAGAGCTGTGAAGGAGCCTTCAATGGATAAGCTGGGGAAGTGGGAGGCAGGGATGGGATGGGAAAATCGATGATACATCTTGAGTTTGGATTATGGAACATTCCCTGACCCAGCCTCCTCCTCAGTCCATTTCCCTCAGGACCCACCCTGGCATCCCACCACCCACCAAAAGCTCCACCATCCCCCATTCTCCTGGGCGTCTCCCCCAGGCCCTGGCCACCTGCTATGGGTCTTCACGGCAGCCTCCCGGGCCAGCTGGGAATGAGGGTGTCGAATAAAGAGGTTCAGGGCCTGGGCCAGGAGGGATTCAGTGGGCAAAGGCTGTGGCAGGCGGGACAGCAGCTGGTGTAGGCTTGGCATGTCACAGGGGCCTGCTAGGACCTCTGGCTCCCGGTGCAGAACCACCTGGGGATAACAGGGAGCGGCATAGGTCAGAGCTAGGCCCCTGATCCCCACTTCTCCCACCAGGACCTCCAGGATCAATGCTAGCCCCCAATATATTCCCCCCACCACCCAGGCCCACTTAGGACACAGGTATGACTCTGCTCCCAAGCCTCCCTCATACCCAACCCTACCAGCCTTGATCAGTCCATACCGCGGCAGCCACGTAGACAGGCATAAGTGGGTGAGAAGCTAGGAAGAAGTCCATGAGACGCAGCACGTGGGTAGGCTCAGGTAGCACGTGGCCAAACCAGGTCAGCAGCCAGCTTAGGGCAAATACTGTTCCCACCTCGGCCCTGGCACCAACAAGCTGGGGCCTTAGGCTGAGCACCTTCCTGCCCCACTAAGTCTGTCCCACTCTCCTGGTAACACGCTTCCTCTCTCCCCTCCACAGCCTTCAGGCTGGTGCCTGGGACTGACCCACTGCCTCTTGACCACCCCACTACAGGTCCCAGGTCATGCTTTGCCCTGCCCATATACCTACCCACAGGACTCTGGTCCCTGATTCCTTTCCCCCTGCCCACAGGGCTCAAGAATGCACTACCCACCTCTCCATGAAGCTGTGTAACTGAGGACTCTCCCGGGCCAGCAGAGGCAGCAGGTAGTTCAGGATGTGCCAGGTATTATCCATTGTGGGGTCCATGAAGTCCCTGATAGGTGTCCCAGGTGTTAGAAGACAGCTGCCTAGGCTATGCCTCCCTCAAGCTCCTCTGAGGTGATATCAGG